AATGAAATGAGGTTTATTGATTTTTAGTGAAATAAATTAAGGAACCATTGCCTCCCACTGACTAAATCCTGTGCTTTGAGAATGTTAAGGTTTATCAAAGTTTCACTCCAGCTGAGAGTGTGGACAGATGTTAGCAGCCCCAGGACTTGGTGCTCTTTTACTGGTGCAGTGGTGACAGTGGTACCCGTGGTCAGGCTTCATTTGTTGGGAAGGAAGACCCCCTCAACTCTCTTCCTCTTTGTGCCCTTGAGAAGATCATCTCATTTCCTCAGGCCCCTAAAACAATATTTCTAGGAAGCAGTGTGAAATAAAATGGTGTAAAGAATAATGAAACAATTTCCTATGTACCAGCTACCCAGGTTCAGTGGTCCTTGAGCATTGCATATATTTACTTCACTTTTTTTTTTTTTAACTTGCTGGATTATTTTAAAGAATGTTATTTCATATCTTCTTACTTTAGTATGCATTTCTGAAAAATGAACATTTTCTTATAGAATCACGATGTTAATATTATGTTTAAAATTACAAATTTTTTGGTAGTGTTCAATGCCATTCTATAATCAAATTTCAAAGAGTTCCCCTTAGTTAATTTTTATTATCTTTCAAGGTAATAATAATGCCTTTCCCCTCCCCTGGCAGGAATTTTGTGGGAAGGTATTATGTATCAATTTTGAATCAGAAAATATTGAGGTCCTCTTTTATACCAGGATACCTTGCAGAATAACTTTGTATAGTATTTGGCACACAGAAGTGAGTATTTGGCCCAGAGAATATGAGTAATGACAAGACACTCTTCCCTTGAAGGTGCTGGCAGTACAAAATGCTTCATGGTTAGTCCTCAAAATTTAAAAAAATTTAAAGTAAAAATCACTTCTCCTGTCAGCACTTGAAGGCCTAGAGACACAGTGGGAATCCAGTAACTTGCACCTGGCTTCTGGGTTCTCTTCTCTGAACACTGCTTTCCATGGGAGGGAATCAGGGCTTCTTGGACAAGTGGTTGGATCCTGGGTCTGTGGCTGGAATGAAGGAGAGATGTCAGAGAGCACTGGGGCCTTAACCATAGGACCTGGGAGCCAACCTGAACAGACTCCCACTGGCCAAAGAGGGACACTTAGAACATCAAAAAGAATGTGACACAATTAATAAATGGGAAAATAAATTAAACAGATGTTTCTTAGAAGAATAAACACAATTGGCCAACAAATATATGAAAAAATGTTCAACATCATTAGCAATCAGGGAAATGCCAATCACAATTACACTGAGATTTTATCTCACACACCAGTCAGAATGGCTGGAGAGGATGTGGAGGAAAAGGAACACTTTTACACTGTTGGTGGGACTGTAAATTAGTACAACCACTGTGGAAATCAGTATGGAGGCTGCTCAAAAGACTAGGAGTGGAACGACCCAGCTCCCACTCCTCGGTATCTACCCTGAAGAACTGAAGTCATCTTACTACAGTGGTACACGCAAGCCCATGTTTGTAACAGCACAATCACCCAAGAGCCAGCGTGTGGAACCAGCCCACGTGTCCATTAATGGATGAATGGGTAGAGAAAATGTGGTACACATATTACACAATGGAGTTTTATTCAGACAGTTATGTTAAGTGAAATGAGGCAAACTCAGGAGCTCAAAGGCTGTGTTTTCTCTTACAAGTAAGTGGAAGCTAAAGAGGCAAATGGAAAGGAAAGGTGGGAAAGTGGGGGGTCTCAGGAAAACCAGAGGGAGATCAGTGGAGGGAAGTGCTCGAGGGACTGAAGGCAGGAGGCTGGGGAGGTGCTGGGGGTGCTAATAGCCAAATCTACATTGTTACAGTATGTACTGCACACATATATAGCCACAGGCCCCGTGCATATGCAACTACAACGACCAATAAAACTGTGGCGCTAGGACTGGGCTCAGGAGTAGAGTGCTCACCTAGTGCGTGCGAGGCCCTGGGTTTAATCCTCAAGACCACATAAAAATAAATAAATAAATAAAGGTATTGTGTCCAATTACAACTACAAGTAAATAAGAAATTACAACAATAAATTACAACTATACAGCACAATTACACAACAATTACAACTATAAAAAAAGTACAGCGGTCCATTGACAACTAAAAATATATATATATTTATATAAAAAACAAATGTGCCAGCAACTAACTATTGGTGGTGGGACTGAGCAAGGCACAACTCACTGGCCATCCCTGGCTGCACAGGCACTGTTCTCCACCCGGAACCACGGCAAGGCCTCCACCACTTGCTGGCCTCCTGCTGGTATCGTCTGTGTTTTAGGATAAACAAATGGTTGATGAAGGAACCTTCTTTTTTCAAGACAAATCCTGAGTAATAAGTACAGAGAAATGAGAAAAATGGAGAGCCACCTTCGGGTTTCCCCAGTGAAGAAGTTGATCTGGGCAACGACATTTAGCTGATGCTTGCAACAGGAGAAAGGCCAGTGGGACTTGAAGGTGAACAGGCCATGCTGGTGGTCACACACCAGCACCTCAATCTGGAAACCTCACAGAAATGACCACAGAGACCCAGAGTCGTATGGAAAAGGAAGCCAAGAAGCACCCCTCTGTCCTGAGGAGGCCTTGAAAGGCAGTCCTGGCTTCTGGGGATTGGATCGGCCTCTGAATGGAAGAGCAGTGACAGCCAGGAAGAGTGGACACTTCACTGAAGATTGTTGTGAGAGTTGGCCCTGACCCTGACCTCCTCTGTTCTCGAGGCAGGGGCTTCTCCCTTCTCTACCCCAGCAGATGGCTAGTATTTGGTCATGTTGCTGTAACGAACACTGTAGACCGAGTATTTTATAAAGCATGTTTTTCTCACAGTTCTGGAGTCTGGAAGTTCAAGATCAAGGCACTGGCATCTGCTGGTTCCTCGAATACTCTGTTCTCAGGTGGTAGAAGACAGAAGGGTCAAACTCCTCCCCAGCGAACCCTTTCAAATGGCACGGGTCTGTTTCCAAGGGTGAAGTCCACAGGACTTAAATGCTTCCTCGAGACCCCACCCAGACACTGTTCCACGGGGATGCGGTTCCTAATATGTGAATTTGGACGATGCACTCTGAGCACAGCAGTGGGTGAAACAAAATGTGCTTGGCAGGGCATCACCAGGCTGCTGGAGCCGTGTGCCCTGCTGCACCCATGGGGAAGGTTAGACTCTTGAGCCCATCCAGGGGCCTCCGTTGGAGGAAGACACAAGTGAGCAGAAGCACCAAGTTCCCTGCTAGCTAGGCCGCATGCTGAGCCTCACCCTTGCTGCCTGCTCCCCTCTAGCCAGGTCCCTGTCCCTTCTCAGGCCCTGTGCAGGGCTGACTTCCTGGGTAGCACTGGGCTTCCTCTGTCCATTTACTTCCTTCTGCATTTTGGCAGCGTCCCTCAGCACGTGCGTGGAGCTGGATAATGCAGCCTGATAAAGATACCGGAACCACAAATGCTCTGCCCACCATTAGGCACATTAGATGATTTGCAAAGTATCAGCGGGAGCCTTTGGGGCCATCTATCATCTATAAATCGAAAATGATTTGATTATTTGAAGAATTTCTTTCATGTGTGGATGAGCACTACTGCGTTGTATTCAAAAGTAATTCTGCTTCCTTTCCTGCCTCCTGCTTCCTGGAGAAAACCACCTGGACAGAAAATCAGAGAGGCTTTCCTGTCCGTCTGTGCTGAGGTCTGGGAGTTCCCACCTTAACCCTCACTGTGGCTCCCAGCCCTGGTGGAGCCCTTGGGCTTACCGCATAGCCTTCTGCCTCTTTGCCTGCTGGCTAGCCTGTCCCTACATGCAGCCGGATGCTAGTGACGCAGACAACAGCGGTCACCATTTCAGCTGATCCAGTGCTCTTGTCTGCAGCTCACTGTTCCTGGGTGCAGTCTCTCAGTTGGCCCTGGGTGCTTCCTTCTAAGGGCACTGCTCTTTCTGCAGGGGACCGAGTCTCAGAAAGGCTCAGTGCTTCCCCTCCAGTGGACAGGGCAGGGAAGGCTGTCACTCACTCAAACCTGGGCCCCACGTCACTGTTCCGATGGTGCCCTCTGCCTCCATTCTCTTCTAGTCCCCGTCCTTCTCTTCCACAATGGCAGCAGGCATGAACCCCCATATCCAAACCCATCGTCCAGTCTTTATTTTCTTAATTTTTATTGTTTTTGTTGTACCAGGGATTGAACTCAGAGGTGCTCTACCACTAACTCACACCCCCAGCCCATTTTATTTACTATTTTGAGACAGGGTCTTGCTAAGTTGCCCAGCTGGCCTCCAACTTGTGATCCTCCTGCCTCAGCCTCCTGAGTCACTGGGTCTATAGGCATGCACCACTATACTTGACCTTTTCTTAATTCTTTATGATATTGCAGTGAGAAGAGCACAGACTTAGGGCCAAGTTCATGATCTCAGACAAGCTATACCCTTTGCTTGGCTGCTGTCCCAAGTCATCATGTGGAGGGCTCTCAGCCTCACAGTGCTGGAGATGTTGCAGAGTCTGAGCATGTGTCCAGAGTATGCCTGGACAGTGAGCAGATATTGTTGTCACTGTTCATACTTGCTCTTCTTCTCTCCTAGAGAAAAGTATGGGCTGAGGCAGAAGAACAGTCTTAACTACAATTGCTCTGTTGGCATAAAAATGTCAATCTGTGATTATTTGCCTAAGAGTCTGTCTTCTAAATAGACTGTGGACTCTCTGGGGATGGGTCCTGGCATTGTCCTTGTTACCTGATAATTGCTGAGATGTGCTGACTCTGCGGGCCTGCCTGACTTTCCTGGAGTTTGGTAAGGACTTGTTCTCCTGGACAGCAGCATGAGTCCTGCAGGGAGCAGCTGCCCAGGATGATGTATGTAGGTCAGATGAAGGATCTGCTTAGTGCTCGTCTCTGGTGGTCACCATTCCTTATTTCTGCTGGAAGATTGGACTCCTTGGACTGGTGTGTATTGCAACAAATAAAAGAAATGAAAGCCCCCAGTTTTGCTTTTGTCTAATGAACCTTTATCTTGTTTATATTTCATCTTCAGAGAAAAAAGACGTGACTCAAAGCCTGGAGAGCTACACATCCAAGTGCCCTGGCACCATGGAGCCCATCACTCTCCCCGATGGCCTCACCTTGCCCCCGGTGCCCTTCACCAAGCTGCCCATCGTCAGGTGAGCCGGCCCTGGGCCCAGGCAGCAGGGCGTGCCTTGTGCCCAATCCTTCCCTGGTCTGGTTGTGCGTGGAGATCGTGAGGGGATCTCCGTGTTTGCTGGCTGCAGATCTAGTTTATCACCTGGTGATTGGTGCTGGCAGTCTTGGGAGAGTGGGTGTCTTACATGAGAAAATCCAGTGGCATCATGTGATTGCTATGGCCCCCTGCCTGTCAGATGGCTGAGCTGCCTGCACACAGGTCTCCTGTGTCCCTGGCTGCACTGTGACCACTGGACTGTGATGGAAACCGGCCTGTTGTGTGCCTCTCCTGCTTCCCGGCATCTCTGTTCTTGGCCTGCGTCCTGCTGACAACAGTGGGTGGCCTTCTCCTGCCCTGGTGCCTTTGCCAACTTTAGGCTCTATTCTCCAGGTTTTGGGGCCCTGTCCTGCTGCTGCTGTGATTTGAAGTCCACCACTGCTCACTGTCACTGTGTGCTGTCCTGGGGTCCCCTTTCTGGGGTCCACTTCCGGTGCCATTGTCTCTCTGTGGGCTGTGGGATTTTGGAAACAGAGGAGTGGAAGTGCCATGGCACAGGGCTCCTCAGGAGGAAGGCACTGAGCCCCTTGGAAGTGCTGCTTGCTGCTCTTCCCTGCGTCCCCTTGGCTTTGCCCTGCAGTGGGGCGGGGGGGCTGAGCTGACTCACAGGCCTCCTGCCTGGTGACCAAAGCCCCTGGTCTCTCTGGGTTTCAGTTTGAATATCCCCCTCCTCCCCCATTGACAACTAAAATCAGTCAGGCTGGGCTGTGGTGACACTGTACTCTGGATGCCATCTCCATGTCAGAGGGCCTCATAGTGCCACGTGTGCAGCCCCAGGCAGGGAGCCCCACTCTGTGACCATGCTGCTTCCTCCTCCTTGATGTGGACAGGAAAGGAGAGGGTCCCTTTTGGGCTTTCCTATGAGCAAGACTTAAAGTGGTATGTGTTTGATTTGGGATTAAGGTCATGATTCATTTTTAAAAAATAAAAGGCTAGAAAAGCCTTTCTTAATAATTTTTTATCTGCATTATGACTTAGATCTTTTTTCAATTCATAAAGCCTTGCATAATAGGACATTCTGAACTTCCTAGAACATTCTGGGCTTCTGATGCTGATCTCAGTGTCCTAGCACCCAGGCCTCTTTGTCAGTGAAACTGGGGAAGATTGGTCCTGGTAGGGTTTGGAACCAGGCAAGAGAGGAGCTTGTCCTGTAGAGGCCCAGAGGACACAGGGCTGGGCACCAAGGCAGCCGCACAGTTGGGGTATGTTCCCCAGCAGCCTCATCTCCCTCATCTGTAGAGTGGGCCTGAAGGTCTCTTGCAGGGCCGCTAGGCTTTGTTCCATTTGAGTGATGTTCATGCAGCGTGGAGCATGTTATATGTGCACACAAAGACCCAGTGGACCTTTGTTTCTTCTGGGACACTGCTATACCCACATTTCAAACACTACCTTGTCTAAAAATACTGTCATGTTAACATTTCCTCCTTGAGCTGTTTAAAAACCAGGCAGAAGAGTAGTAGTTATATTTAGGCAAATGCCAGTGGGTGAGTCTGCTCTAGTCCCCTTCCTTGGCTACCAGGGTCTTCCAGCCCTGGTGGAGAGCTCTCCTGCCAGCAGCTGGGTCTGCCGGCCTTCTTGTGCCATTTTGCCACCTGAAGTGGCCATAGACTGCTTTCTCAGTATGCTACCCACTGTCAGTGTAAGCCTGTCTTTACGATTTTCAGAGACCTTTAGCTGGGTAAGTCAGTTTGGTTGTCCTAGTGACAGGTTCATGTAGCGTCATCTGTGCCAGGACCCATGAAGGACCAGGGAGAGCCAGTGTTTGAGCCGTGGTGCAGCAGTGCAGGGCACAGACCTTCTGCCCAGGGAGCACGGCTGCCCTGTTGTGGGAGGGAGCGCTGGGAAGTCAGGAAAGCCGCAGCCGCAGCCTGCGCATTGCCTTCTCCTGGTTTCAGTGCCTTTGGGGGCCTCTGGGGTCACCCTGCCTCTGGCCTTGATCGTGAGCCCCTTGTTCACTTGGTCCGACCATTCCCTGCTCCCTTGTAGAGATCCGTAGAAAAGGTCAGGTGTGTGATGGGCCCGCAGCATGGCTTCTTCTCTCACTCTGCCTGGTGGTGCTTTGTCTTTTGAGATTAAGCTCAAGCATTACGTCTTCTGTGAGGTTTTTCTGATGGTGCTCAGGTAGCAATGACTGTGCCTTCTGTATAAGTTAGGTGTTGCTTCAGCTGAGAAGAGTTTTAAACGCAGTCATGGCTCGGAGTCCAAGAGGAGGTTATTTTTCTTATTTATGAGGAAGGAACCTGGGAACAAGTGGCCTCTCCATGACTCTGCCTTCACCTCCTGATTACCAGATGACTTCAGCTGCTCCAGATAGCACATGTGCGTCCAGGGCAGGAGGAAGGGGGGGCGGCAGGTTCAGGGATATCTCTCTTTTGTTAGTGGGGTTCCTGCCCCAGTCTCACTGAGTAGCAGTATGTCTCTAGAAGGTGACAAAGTCTGCATGCGGGTCTTCTCACTGTGCAGCACAGGTGGCCGAGGAGGGGGGACAGGATAGCACTTGCTGAGCCAGCAGGCGTCTCTTCCCCAGTACCTGCTGTGTCTTCTGGCCAGCACTCAGGGAACTTCATCACCTGTCTCTGTTGGTGCCCCATCTTTCTTTCAAGAGCACTGGGAAGAGCTCTTTGTCTTCTCTGGCTCCGGCCATGCCATGGAGCATGCCCACTGATCAGGCAGAAGTATCCATTCAAGTTCTTTTGTAGCAATCAGTAGAAAACCTGGCTTAGACCATGTAGGCAGAGCGGATTTAGGGCATATGTACCCGATAAAAGCCCAGGGGAATGAGGCAGGCAGAAGCCAGTACTCACGCCGCCCGGGGACTTGGGTTCCCTCCCTTGGCTGAGCCCCTGCCCTGTGTGGGGCATTCATTTTCAGCCCCAGGAGGCATCAGAGTGGCAGCAGAAGTTTTAGACCTTGCATCCTCTTCCTATAGTGTCCAAGAAAAGAGAGAGGTAGCCTTTGGGGACATCCATGAAGGAGTCTGGGTCCCCTTGTTTCCCATTGCCTCTCATTGGGACTCGGACTGCCGGGAGAGTACCTGTGGTATCCTAAAGTAAAGCCCAAGAACTGGGGCCCAGGAGGAGGGGAGCAGAGCAGCGAGGGCCGAGTGGGCGGTACCCAAGTCCCCTCCCCACCGTGCTGCCCTGGACAGGAAGTGCAGGCTTGGCCTCCGCATGGTGACATGGAGCCACAGAGACATGGTGCTGAGTGGCAGCTGCCTCCCTGGGGAACCCTGACAGAAGTCTCTGGGAGCTGGGCGTGAGCCTGGCTACAGGCTGCCCTCGTCCTCCCTGGACCTGGCTCTTCTGACCCAGAGGGCTGGCCACATGTTCCTGCAGATAGGTCTGTTTTATCCCAGATGCATTTTTCACCGGAGAGAATGCCCACGTTCCTGGGTGTTCCAGGTTTATTTTTGGGCTGTCCTCCTGAGTCTTTGCCATTTGGAAATAGAAAGAATTGGAATGAGTGTGATGTTCTTGTCCCATGGTCCCTCAGCCTCACACTTCTCTTTTCCTTGTCAAAGCAGGGTCCTTTTCCTCCACAGGGGTGCTGTGGCTCTTCTGTGAACAGGCTGGACCCTGCGTGTCCTTTTCTGTTTCCCTGTGGTGACTTGGGAGGGGCACTGCGTGCTGAAGGTTCAGGGAGAGTGCGGCAGCCTCGTGGTGTCGGGCGTCCCTTTGTGCCTGACATCAGCACATCCCTTTCTGTAACAGGAGAGATGCGCCGTTCATTTCACAGTCCGCGTCTAGGTCCTGCGTGCGCAGTAATCCTGTGCCCTTCTCGGAGCCCCGTTTCCTCTGCCCTAACTGGGACTGAGGGTCCCTCCTTCCCTTCCTCCCACAGGCGAGCGCTGAATGCTTTCAAGGTGCTCCTGAGCCGCAGAGCTCTCCTCTCCACGGGTGTGGTTTCCTGTGGGAGCCTGGGGAGCTTTGCCTTGCTTTAGAGGTCTCTCCACTCTTCCCTCTGAGTTATTCCATCTTTGTACATTTAGATTAAATTAACTGGATGAGGTTCAGAGGTCTCCCAGGAATGCTGAAAGGTAGCTTTACTTATTTTTGGAAGTTCATATTATCTAAAACCAGAAAGCGATGGCCAGAAATGGGAAAAGGTGTGATTCGATATTACCAGCAAGAAGGAAAACTGGTTGGTTATGAGGTCCTCTGTCCCTCGTGAGCAGACGTGGACCCTTCACACTGAGGATGTGCAGTTCGCCCAGAGGATGAGGGACGTGGTCCTCAGGCATCTGGCTTGCTCAGCCACATGGTGGAACATGCAGAGCAGTGGGCGCACGGGCCGCAGCAGGCCTTCCTCCAGGAATGTGCTGCCCATGGGTGAGCCTTTGGCAGGAGTTGGGCAGCAGAGTTCGGAGCCTTACTCTGAGGCGTCAGAAGAGGGCAGGTCACTGACGGGGTGCCTGTCAGTGCTGGTGCCCAGCAGGCCTCCGTAAGCCGTGGGGACTGTTAAGGACTGGGGCTGCAGGTGGGGTTGTCTGACTCCACCACAGGGAGGCCAGGTGGAAGCTGTGGGTGGGGCGAGGTCTTCCCTTAGAAACAGGTCTGGGACGGTTGGAATGTATTAAACCAGTGTCTCCAAGTCCAGTGTCCAGGAAGGTGGGCTTTGCCAGTTTAATTTGAAAAATTCAAGACAGGCATCGCAAGTTCCTCCTATAGATGCAGGGAGAGTGTTTGAGGGCTATAGCTCCTGCTTGCATTACAGAATAAATTGGTTAAAAATGTCTAAAATTGTTAGATACAAGCTAATTTACTGTCGGAGATGTCCCAAACTGTGATTTTTCTTTGTTTGTTTGTTTTTTTTAACAATAGATATTTGGAGCCATTTTCTTTTCTGTTGAGGTCTTCCTTAGTTTTTGACAATAAAACCATCTTAGCAAGTTATAGGAAGAGCTCACCTGCCCTCCAAGGCCTGGAAACATGAACTAGGCTCACCCCAAAGTGTTTTTGTGTAATTATGATGCAGATTAATAAGGAAAATAAGCCAAAATACAGCACTGTTTAATTCTATTCCCAAATTCATTTCATCAAATGTGCCTTGAGAACTCAAAGTGGGCCTGGCCTCAGCTGACTGTTGTGGGCTCAGCAGTGGTCAAGTGTGACCTCAGCTACCAAGAGGCTGCCAGGTCTATTGCCAGTTACAGCAGCTGGCAGACAGTTAAGGTCCCAAGTGGTCTTAGTTTATTCCTTATAGGAGTCTCCACAAAGAGAGGAAGTGTGTACACGAGAGTCAAGAGGAACATTTTTTGTGTTCCAGAGTATTTTGTTGTGGATTTTTTGGAGACTGTTTAATATGTTTATTGCTTCTTTTTATGGAAAAGTTCATTTGCCCTCTCATAGTTTTTTTTTTCTCTTATGTTGTGGATTATTAAAGAAGAAATTGGAATTGAGTTTAGGTTTCATTTTCAGTTAACCAATGAGTCTTTAATTGAGGAATGGAAATGAGGGGGACTGGGGACTCATCAATTGTTTTTTTGATGAACATTGATTTCCCACAACCTGGAAAAGAGCTCTGGAGTTAATGAAGGCATTTAAATTAATAAAGATCCAGCCAAGCAGCCAGAGTGAGTTTTGAATTGCTTGGGTGCATTTAAACTTAAACTTTTTAGGTTAATTTTACCATCTGGGGAAGCAGTCTAGGCATTTATTCAAAAGAGGCTAAGAGCTGATTAGGGTGGTACATGCCTATCATCCCAGCAACTCTGGGGGCTGAGGCAGGAGGATTGTGAGTTTGAGACCAGCCTGGGTAACTTAATGAGTCCCTGTTTCAAAATAAAAAATAAGAAGAGCTGGGGGTGTAGCTCAGTTGCTTTAGGTGTCTGAGGCCTTCCAGCTGAGAGAGGGGGTCATCTCTGGACCCTGTAAGGTGGTGTCTATTAGCCAGAGGTCAGGCTCTGCTGAGGCAGGAAAGCTGACTCCAACGCCTCACTGACTGACTGCACAAAACTGTGCACTCACACAGGCTGGTGTGAGTCACGCTGTTGTCTAGGCGTTTGACCTCGTGGGTTGCTCAGTGACCTAGGCCGTGCTGCCTTGGTCTCCATCGTCTTAACACTTGGCCTCCAGGACTGCCACGTGGCAGGAGAGCGCTGGGGCTGGTGCATGGCTTCAGAATGCTGCGTCCGGGTGTGGCTTCTGCTCAGCCCACAGCCCGGGCTGCACAGGTGGCTTCACCTTCCTGCAGAGAGGTGGGGAGGCGGGGTGGGGAGGGCATGCCGCCACCTCAGTCAGTAAGTGTCCTCACCAGACCTCCCAGTGTCCCCATGTCTACCCCTTGTCCTTTCATTCTCAGGCCTAGGAATGTTCCAGATCTTAACTACCATCTTGCCTTACTGTTCATAAAGGAGGTTTATATGCAGTGTCTCTCGTCCTCATCAATTCCAGGCGTGGTGTCTTGAGCAGCGGAGGTCACCTCCCTTGGTCAGTTTCCCAGTTGGTAATGTGGAGACAGAGTCAGTACTGAAGCCACAAAAATGGTTGTGATGTTTAATTGAGATTGTTCCTATGATAGTGCCTGTGAATGTGCACACTACTGGTAAGACCTCAGTAGATGCTGGGCTCTTGGGGTGGGACACTTACTTCTGCAGGCGTGAGCAGTTCCTCATGTGGACAAAGCAGGGGTGCTTTTAGTCTGCAGACCAGGCTCTCTCCTACTTGTTCTGGGCTGGCTGTCAGGAGAGGGAGACGTGAGAGAAGAGAGCTTTCCAGTCCTCACCCTAGTTCCACGTGTGAGGTGCTGGCCCCATCTGCATCCTATAGACAGGAACCCACTTTGGAGAAGGCAAGGCCGTGTCCAGAGGTGTGCAGCTGGAGAGCAGGGGTGGGGGCTGCAGCCTGGCCCTTCTCATTGTGAACTGTGCTTAAGCCCAGGCACAGTGGGGCAGCCCTGAGCAGAGTCCAGCTGCCTGTCCTGCTGGCATGAGTGCCCTCCCTTCCACTAGTGGGCCTTGGTTTTCTTTCCTGTGGTAAGGTCTGTCCTGTGTAAGGTCTGTCCTGAAACCAAGCCACCGAGGCCATGATGCATTTGTGCTGTGTTTGAAACGACAGGTGTGTGAAGCTGCTGAGCCTTCCTACCAGCCTTCGGCCCCAGAAGATGAAGAGCTTGCTGGGCCAGAGCGTGTCGACCAAGAGCCCCTTCATCTATTCACCAATCATTGCACACAACCGTGGAGAGGAACGGAGCAAGAAGATAGGTAGGATCTTTTGTTCCCGCCTTCTCACTGTGCCCGGCTCTTGGTTTTTAGTGGATTTCTGGAATTTTAGGGCAGAATTTCAGACTGGCTTACCTGTGTGTGCATGTGTGCATGTGTATGTACATTTTAGGGTGGGCTTCTCTGTGTACACATGTGTGTGCATCCATGCATGTGGGCCTGGTCACGTCTGTGCCCACTTTAAGGCTGGCTTATCTGTGTGCTCACAGATCCAATATTTGAAAATCTATTTTATTAAAGGTGATTTTGTGGAAGTTCTAGAAACCAGAAAGACCCAGGTCATCACAGAGAGTCAGTGAGCACATGATGTGCATCTCTTCTGGACTCTGTCTCTCTGACAAAGTGACTAGGATGCAACCATGGGACCACCCTCCTGACCTTATCTGAGCCTAGTCACCTCCTGAAGGCCCAGCCTTGAAACGCCAGCACTGGATTCAGTTTCCATTCCCTTAATACTTCATAGTGGAGGTCAAGTTTTACCCACGAACCCTTGGACCCCTGCCACCCGTGTCCAAACCACGGCAGTACTTCGTGAATTATATGAGCTAGTCCACTTTTTTATGGAGCAGGCTTTGTGTTGGGTGATTTTGTCCTGCTGGAGGCCAAGGTGGGTGCTGGTGCGGCTAGGCTGTGATGGTTGGTAGGTGAGGGCACAGAGGCACTTTGGACTTAGGAAGAGCTTGTGGGGATGTGAGATGAGAAGCTGTGTCACAAAGTCCCTGCCCTGGACAGCTCCTCCCATTCAGTTTGTGCAGGCGGGACACAGGACAGGGTGCTGAAGGGTGAGGCAGTGTGGATGGAGGTTCTTGAGAGCTGTGGCCCTGGCAGCCCTCTGCCAGCACCTGGTTACCTATTGCTGAACTCAGGCGAGCAGCGAGTGCCATTCCCTGGGAGCAGGATCCCTGCAGACGCTGGGCCACCGTGAAGAGGAGTGCCCTGGCTCAGCCCATGCCAGCGTTCCCTGTTGAAGCCAGAGGAAAGTGAAGGTAGAGTCGAGGGGCAATGCCTTGAAGAGCGCAGCCGGTGCCAGCATGGGAGGGTTTCTGAAGACATGACCCCACTTGTTGGCAGCTTTCCCTTGGTGTGTGTCATGTGTGTACCATGTGTGTGCGCCATGTGCGTGCCATGTGTGTGTGTCATGTGTGTGTGTGCACACGTATTCTGGAAATTCCATCTTGAGTCTTTGATTTTGAAAGACTGTGCCAGCCTCTCAACCCCTACCTCTGCTTCTCTGCTCCAGAAAACATGTGCAGGTAACCGGAAGCTGAAGAGCCCAATGGGCAGCATCCTGGGCAGGTGGTATGCCTCAGACCCTGTCCAGTATGCATCCCAGGGAGAGGAGAGAGGTGGGGTGTCCCTGCACGGCCTCTGGGAGCTACTTCCGCCACCTCCTTGGAGGCAGAGGACTGGAGCCCTGCCGTAGTGGGGCGTCTTGCTGGCTCTGTGACTCGTCCCTCCTGTGTGGACCTATACAGTTGTTGGACTCTTCTTCTGGCCTTCCGGGACTCTCTGCCTGTTTTCTTGGTCCTCAGTATGCTTTTTCCCCTAAAGAACTTTTAAGGAGAGCCTCACTTCTTTCATTCAGAGGAAAACTCGGGAGGTGACTTAGAGTTGTGTGGGGTGAGACATCCCCCAGGGCAGCAGTACGTTCATGGGGTCCAGTGCAGAACAAAAACATAGGCCCTTTATTGAGAAAGTATTAAGAATTTGTATACAACAAGAGCCAAGCATACAGCACATATGGGGCCTGCAAACATGGGCCTGGTGCCACTGACTGCTGGATTGCAGGTCCCTGAGGCCAGCCCAGTCCCTTTATTTTTCCTCTTCCATTCTAGGAATTGTTGAGGCTTCATATTATGAAAATCCTTGTTTTTGTGTAAGAGGCTGGAGCAGACTGGACCCTCAGATTCTCACAGCTGCTTGGTGCTGATGCAGCCAGTGCTGCTCTCTACCTGTGTACAGGTGGGGAGGTTTAGACTGGATGCAAATTACCTGCCCTGGGCCAGAGAGCCAGTAGGTGGCAGAGCCCAGTCTCCATCCCATGACTTGATGCCCAGGGAGTTTTCCCACTATGAGGTGGCTCCTCATAGGACCAATAAGCACCTGCTCACTTGGTTGGAGGATGAATTTATGGTTGATATAAGAGTGTTTTTCTGAGCTATCAGAAAAACATTTTTTTGCTATTCAGCAAAAAATGCACATTATTTGTTGAATATCCATAGGAAAAATTAATTTGTATTCTATAGCTTCTAATATCTTTTGGGCAATAGCCTGACCAGAGAGTACCTGCCTGGAGGCTTGAAGAATCACCCATCTTTAATCTGAATTCCTAATTCTGTACCCGAGTCTGTGTAGCTACTGGGGATGTTACCATTACAGCAGGGCATGTAGATGCAAGAAATAGAGAGCTTCTCCAGGGAGACTCTTGCGGCCATTTCCCACTCTGCCAATGGGTTATTTATTGGTCTTTGTATCTGCAACATGGACAGTGTGGCCACATTCTAATTCCACTCTGCAGTGCTGCTGTGAGGGTCACCTGTCATTTGTGATTGGAATGCGAGGGTTTTTGGTGAGGTTGGCAGCTGCCCAGATGCCATGTTGTCCCTGGTCAGCTGGGGCTGCCAGGTGGCCCTGACGCAGCCTGGCCCCCAGCTCTCGCTTCCCATCGTGTGACCTTGGACTGTGGTGGTGCTTCCTGGTCTGCAGTTGTGCTGTCTACAGAATGGGGATGTTAGGAGTTGACTCGAGAGTTGTTCCGAGATCCAGTGAGACAAGTACTGGAAGTCCTGGCGCCCACTCAGAGGGTCTTCAGGAGCAGCTGTGTGTGGTGCGGGGTATCCAGATGCTGTGATGATTGGGAACTCTTCCTGCCAAGCAGGTCCACACGGTGTGGTGGACAGAGATGAGCTTGTCAACAGTAGAACTGCCGGGTGCTGCTGGTCCTGGTGTGCCAACATGGAGCAGGGAGGGCTGGCAGAGGGTGTTTAGTAGCTACTACTTCCTGTGCCCTCCTGATCTATCTGTGACAAAGTATGAGGAAGGGGCTTGTGCTTTGACACATGGGAGGTTGGACCACCTTCTTTCAGACAAAAGCAACTTATCACATAAATGTAAATGATTCCTTCTAGTATCTCAGAGCATGATTTTAAAAAATGATTATTTTTTGACTGCAGAGAAAACAATCCCTTAGCCACAGGCACAGTGACTTATTTAAAAAAGCAGTGGCTTTCTCATCTGCAGGGAGGAGCAGGCAGGTTGCTAGCTCCCTGCAGATGCCAGCAGGCTGGGGTACTTGTCACCCAGTTGACAAGGTGGTTGTCAACTGGGACTGCTGTCCACTTCTAGAGGCCACCCTACATACACCCTGGCAAGGAGGATCTCATCTCCATTAGGGACTCATCTCCATTAGGGGCTGGGCTGTGCTCTGGTTGGTCGTGTGTGCAAGGAGGGAGGGTGAACCCCATACTGAAGCTTCACCGGGGGTCGTAGGCTTGTGCAGGTGGGTCAGGGCAGGTGTGGTGAAGGAGAGACATGGCCTGAGTGTCTGTAGCCGTTGAGGGGTGTATCGTGAGGGAAAGTGTTTGGGTTTAGAGCCAGAAGGACTTGAATTTGGACTGCAGCCCTTGTATTTATCACAGCCATAGGTGGGCAGACAGTTCAGCAGTCAGGAGTTTTCCGTTTTGTAGAATGAGGATAATGTGCTTCACTGACCAAGCAGAGTGTGGTCGTTCTCTGTGCTGTCCAGAGCTCAGGTGTGTGCACAGCTCCAGCAGTGTTTGTGAGCTAACTCCCTGGTGGCCTTGTCATTGGTTCATGCAGTTGCAGATGCCCGATCTGGCCAGGTGTCACAGATTTGGGGGGCTGGTCTTAATCTCTGTGCAGGGTCCCTGGTCCAGAGTGGGTCAAAAGCTGTGTCTTGAAAATGGGAGGTGAAAGCTCCATGAAAGTCGGTGGGTTCTGCTCAGTGAACCTACCTCTGCTCTAGGAACACCTTCACTGGCTTGAGCCCCCTGTGCCTGGGCTAGATACTGCTTTGACTTCCCAGTCCTGGCCGCATCACTGTGGCTGCCCTTGTCAGCAGTGGGCTTCCTAGGTGAGCTCGCTACCCGTTTGGCTTGTGAGTGCCCGCCTTGTACTGCTGTGGCCTTGACACCACGTCACGAGGCAGGTCACAGAGTAAGGAGGTGGCCTCCCACCTGACACTTGCCAGCATGCCCCTTGGTCCTGAACTCCCTTGGCCGCCTGATGCCGAGCCTCAGGGGTGGAGGGGCAATGGAGATGGGGATGGGAGCTCTACTGGTTTTCAATAGCTTTGTGACAAATTTCTGAAGCTGACCTATGGCTCAGAACAATGTCAGCACTTTTCTCACTACATGGGTCAGGAGTTTGAGTCTGTCTTGCTGAGTCCAGGTGTCACCTGGTCCCCTTCTGAAGGCTCCACTGGGAGCGGTTTCTTTCCCAGGTTCCTCAGGTTGGTCCTCTTTTATTATCTCAAGGTGGTTGTCAACTGGGACTGCTGTCCACTTCTAGAGGCCACCCTACATACACCCTGGCAAGAAGGATCTCATCTCCATTAGGGACTCAGCTGGTTGGATCAGCCTGTCTGGGAAAGTCTCCCATTCGGTCATCTCAGAGGTGACTGATGGGGATCTGAGTTACACCTGCACAACCCCTCAGTGCTGTTACAGGACATTACCTAGTGTGGACCTGTCCTCCAGGGAGGGGCTGCACAGGGCACATGTGCTGGGCCTTGGGGTAGGGTCATTGCCTCTGCACTGCGGGGGCCTGGGAGTTAAGAGGAGGAGAAACCACCCTCTTCCCTCTCAGTCTCAGGGGCACAGGGCGGTCATGGAGTTCAGCTGTGCACCAGTGTGGCCTGCAGAATGCCGCGGGAAAAGTCCTACACGTTGCATTAAAGTGGCGGTGATGACAGGCTTGACTGTGTTTCAGAGAGCTGGTGTCACAGCCAGCTGTGAATTGCTCTCTCAAGGTGATCGTGAGGTCCACTGCTTTGCCGGACAAGTGTGTTGCCAGACGAATCACCTGATACCGTGAGAAGGTGCAGAGGTGCTGACTAACGTGGATTCTTTTGTGCTCTGTAGATTTCCAGTGGGTTCAAGGAGACGTGTGTGAGGTTCAGCTGATGGTGTACAACCCAATGCCATTCGAACTCCGCGTTGAGAACATGGTACGCACTGCCAACTAGTTGGTCTTTTGGGTTAAAAATACCAATTTATCATTAAAATACAAATTTTTACTTAATATTTGACACATACAATCTGTGACATATTTTTTTTTTTCCATTTTGCTAGAGATGAGCTTGTTGTGAGTCATTCTTTTTTTGCATTTTGCATTCTTTCTTTTGGCGTTTTGTCATTCTTGTGTCTTTATGCCTGGTACTCAGGAAATGTTTGAATCCATGAACAGAGCACAGATTTGCACACAAACTGAGCTTAGCTGACGGGATGTGAGATTTGACATGCTCATTTTGAAGGTTACCCAAGACCAGCACAGATTCCAGCGTCTGCACTCTTCCTGCTCGTAACACCAGCAGCGTCCCCTGGCTGCAGGGTGACTGGAGGATCAGGGCGCAGGGCAGAATGAGCAGACTGTTGACTGTGCGGGGTCCAGGCTTGCCATCCTGACGTGCTCCCAGGCCCAGCGTAGCTCTCCGAGACTCGCTTGCAGTCGTGCGTCCCCGGGAACTGCTCGGCCACCTTCGTGGTTGGGAGGAGGTCCATGGGGGGACCCCCTCCTGGTCCTCCCCACCTGCGTTCCACCCTCAACCTTTGCTGTGTTGCCTGCAGTGCTGCTGTCTGGTGGTGACATGGAAAGGGTGTGTGGAGCTGAGGAGCGGTCCCGCCTGGCACTGGGTAGGCTGCGGCTCTCCAAAAAGCATCTGTGCCATGCAGTAGGCCTGGGGCCTAGGTGGAGGGTTGTGCCTGGCTTGGAGTCGGGACTTCCTGGAGACTGTTTGGTAGTCATGCTTCCTGCCTGAGTGCTGAGAGACCCCCGCGGCCTCAGCCTTGCTCTGGGCCTTCTGCTCCCCACCTCCTGGCCAGGACAGGCTGCCTTGGGAAGTGGCTCTTGGGTGAGGCCTCTCCAGTGTGTCCTGCTCCTGGCCTGGACAGGGAAATGAAGTGCTGATTTTGAAGTTTACCTGAGACCAGCACAGATTCCAACACCTGCGTTCTGCCTACTTGTGACACCCGCAGTCAGTGTGTACAGAATTCCCCTAGTGATTAGAGCATCACAGCCCCGCTACTCTTCCTCACTTTTTTTAAAAAAAGTATCTTTCACTTTTATCTGGCTTAAAAGTAATATATGCTATTATAAACATTTAGGAAGAATAAAGAATAAAATAAAAAGCTCTATTTGGAGATGGCCCACAAATCATGGTCAAAATTTCAAAACTGAATCATGAAATATTTTGACCATATGAAACATTCCAGGGAGTCCCAACACGCTCATGTCCACCATCCACATTAACAAATGCTAATAGTTGGCCATACTGCTTTAGCTGTGTGGAAAGGAAATAAAAGAAGCCAGGAACAGTGCTGAATACCTAATCCCAGTGGCTCAGGTGCCTGAGGCAGGAGGATCACAAACCAGCCTCAGCAACTTTGTGAGGCTCTAAGCAACTTGGTGAGACCATGTCTCAAATTAAAAAATAAAATGGGCTGGGCATGTGACTCAGTGGTTAAGCCCCTGAGTTAAAAAAAAAAAAAAAGACAAAGGAAATGCTAAAATAAGATATTTTGCCTAGGGTCAGTCTAACTGCTTCCACCCCTGCCCACAACATCTAACCACACATGGATCATCTGACAGCGCTGGTCAAACTCCAGGCACGAGGTGCACTCAGTGTTTCAGAGCATCCTTGCTTCTGGGTGCTGTCTGTGAACAGAGTTGGAAAGGTGTGCATGCACACATACGCTCACATTTGTACACACATACTCTACGTGCATGTACAAACACACACACACTAATATCTGTATCTGCACACTCACCTCTGCACTCACATACTTGTTTGCACATGCACCTCTGGGCACATACACTTACACATGTATCCACACCTCTGCACACTCTCACTTGTTTGCACATTCTCCTCTGCACACACTGTACTTACATGTGTCCACACACCTCTGCACACACACACTTAGGTTTGCACACACTACACTCACCTCTGCACACACTACACTCACATGTGTATCCACACACATTTGTGCACACACACCTCTGCACACACTATGTTTACATCTGTATCTGAACATGCACCTCTGTGTGCATACACACTCACTTTTACACTTCTGTTTGTACACACTGTCTCTAAAGCTCTCTGGGTCTTTTGAGGCCATCAGTCTTGTCTTCCTGACAGTCCTAGGTGTGCCTGCAGCGCATGCCTCAAGGATCGGATAGAACTGATCGTCCATGATGGGTTTGGGTTGAGCCTGCTCATGATGCCCCTTCACTTGCTTCAGGGGCTCCTCACCAGTGGCGTGGAGTTCGAGTCTCTCCCTGCTGCGCTTTCCCTTCCTGCAGAATCTGGTCTGTACCCGGTGACACTTGTTGGGGTGCCGCAGACAACCGGAACGATCACTGTGAACGGTAAGGAGAATCCCTTTCTGGTTCTGCTTGCAAAATGTTGCTGAGCGTTTATATCGCTTTGTTGAGGTCTAGAGCTAATCACCTGTCCTCTAGTCCCGACCATGAAAAGATGAGGACGAGGCTGCGATGGCATTTCTTTGGGATGAGACCTGGGAAAACTGGGTTTGAGTGTGAGATGTGGCGGCAGTGGCTGTGTCCTGTTGTGGCAGGTCGTCACGTTCCCTCCCCACCGCACCATCTTCCTTCGTGTGGTCCTCTGGAAGTCTCCAGACACGTGCCCAGCTTCTCCCTGCCCTGTGGCTGCCATGACTTGTCCTTGCTGTGGCGCTTTGTTTGCTCCTGGAGGTGTATGCACATGCCGGGGCCACTCTCCACCTCTCAGCCTCCAGCTGATCCCTCAGTGTCCATCCTTGGTGCCAGCTTGTGTGCACTTCTCCTGCCCCTCAGATGTGGCCAGAAGGGCTGACTGTGTTATCAGATATTCCTCACATTCTGCATCCCAGATCCAGCCCCGATCACCTCACCGTTCCAGAATGCCTAACCCCAGGTCACTAGTGATTTTTAGTATTTCCCGGACGAATCCAGGGCCTGCTTTTCATTTTTTTTCCCCTAACCTGACTCTCAGAGCCCATCCTTCCCGCATGGAGAGCTGTCCTCGGCGGCCTTCGTGACCCACACCCTCTGGGTTTGGTTACTGTAATGGTGCACGCCAGGCAAGTGCTCCACCGCTGAGCTGTGTCCCAGCCTCCCTTAGGTCTTCTGCTGCCTCTCTGGCTCTTGCTTCTGGGTCTCTTTACACACCGCACGTGAAACCAGAACCACTGCCTCTCCTCCCAAAGTGGCACCTCCCCCTGTGGCCCCAGCCGAGTGATGATGCCACCATGAGTCAGTTGCCCTCGCCAGCTTCTTGGGAGTCGTCCCCAGTTGCTCCACTTCTGTAACTCCCTAGGATACCTCACTGTCTCCCCAATAGGTGAGACTGGCCACTTCCTGTCTTGCAGACCGCAGTTCCCTTGCAGGGTGGTCTTTCTGGCCACGGGCCTGCTTGCTACCAAGTCTGTCTTGCAGGCTGCAGCTGGGCCTTTTGCAGTGTGTGTCGTGCCTTCCTGTGCTTTATTCCCCATGTGGCCCGCCCCTCTGTGGACTCCTCTTTTCCCTTCCCTCCTGTGGAGTGGCACTTGAGTCTCATGGCGCCTCCTGGGCGGGGCACTGTTTCCTAAGCTCTCCTGGATCCTCTCCACCCAGGGCTTGCTTGCTGCCTGCAGCTCTCAGTGAGGCTTCCCTTCTCAGGTGGCCCAAGCCTCCTCTGGCTCCCCTGGGCTCCGCACACCTTTCTCCTCCTTGTCACTTGTGGATGTGCTCCCTGCTGGCCTTTCTTGGTGGCCAGGCCTGTCTCACTCTGGAGCACCTCAGTGTCTGGTGCAGAGCCCCTCACACCAGAGGTCTTTGTCATTTCCTCCCCGAGAAAGGTGCAGACTTTGGGGCCAGTGAGGTGAGGGCAGGCGTAACCCCAGGTTGTGTGTGTTGTGGAAGTACCAAGATGGAGGCCAGCGTGTGGAGGTGGGACTCGGGGAGGAGGAAGGTCAACAAAGGCCTGTCATAGCAAGTGACCTGAGTTTTGAAGGCCCCTGGGAGTTGTCCAAATGAATGGAGTGGGAGTGGGGAAGCAGGGGTGGGAAGCAGAGTGTAGAAAGGGCTCTTGAGCAGAGCAGCACCTGGTCGGAGATTGGTGGTGGGAGAGACCAGTGGTGTGCTCAGGGAACCAGGGTGGCCGGAGGAGGTGGTCCAGCGAAGGGGTGGTGATGATGGGGCTGGAAGGCAGGTAGAGGGCAGTCCTAGGGGACCTTGGGAATCACCCTAAGGATACTGACTGCTGCCTTGAACAGGGGCAGGGTGCGGTGGCAGGAGTGTGGGGGCCGGGGCGGGGGGGATAATTAGGCCTGGAGACCTCTGTGGAGGAGGAGAGCTGGGGCTGATGTGTAATGGTGACCTTGGGGGCCCCCTTGCTGTGACCCCTGGGTGTCTGTGACAGTGAGCCTGGGGGCCTCCAGCTGATCCCTCAGTGTCCATCCTTGGTGCCAACTTGTGTGCATTTCTCCTGCCCCTCAGATGTGCCAGAAGGGCTGGCTGTGTTATCAGACATCCTCGTGCTCATGCTAAATAGTTGTCATCAGACTTGGGGTTTTATAAGGTAGTTGTTTTAAACAATAGGTAAGAGAAGGAAAATTATTTTCATCAGGAATTGTAAAATAATGGTTGCTTAGCAGACAAAACCACACCATGATAAGATCTAGAGAGAGAAGAGTGTGGGGGCATTAGTGGCAAGGGGGGTTTTGGGGAGGAAAACGTTTGCCAGTGAAGGAAGCCTTCCAGGACTTACTCTAGAGAGCAGCGAGCACAGGGAGCATGGCTGGGAGTCCTGTGAGCTGGGAGAGAGCCTGAAGCTGCAGGGGCGGTGGGGGGGAGGATGTGGGGGAGGGCTGCTGGGGGAGGGCAGATATCAACAGGGATGGCCTGGTTTGTTGGTTTCTCCCTTTGGAGATCTGTGTATCCCAACATGGATGCGCAGAGAAGGTGGTGCCCTGGGCCTTGGGCATTAGGTGCTATTTAATCTCATTGCACAGTGAATATTGTTTATGATAGCTATCTCTTGAAATTTCAAGGGCCATTTTAAAGCTTTGCTTAAACAATTTTGTGTGCTTATCTAACCAACATATTTTTTTTGGCTTGGGAAATTTGATAATCTTAAATGATAGTACTTGTACACATATGGCAGATTGGCCGTATCACATAGCAGCTATAATAACAATAATTGGCTCTTGAACTTTCATCCTCATCAGAAGGTTTTGAAGCATTTTTTTCAGGTACTCTTTCAGATACATTATGTCCTGCAAAGGAATATTAACTACCATTTTCATTTTGGAGATGGAGAAATCTGAAAAGCAAATTAGTAAAGGGATGAGATACTGATTATCAGGTGCTGCAGATTTGTAGTTTGCAGGGACCTTTACATCTGCCCTTTATTTGGACCTGGTCAGCATGTGAAATAGGATAGTGCCACTACCAGCTGCGTCAACGTGAAGATACTGTGGGTTCTGGTTGGAGGGGCAGTGTGGGGAGCTGGTGGGTGGCAGGCCAGGCCTCAGGCCCAGGAGGCCTGTGCTCTTCTCACTGCTGCTCTGGGTGGGACGTGGGCCTTGCCAGGAGGTGTGAGTTCTGCCTTGCATTCCAGGCTACCGTACCACTGTCTTTGGTGTCTTCAGTGACTGTCTGCTAGATAACCTCCCGGGAATCAAAACCAGTGGCTCTACCGTTGAAGTCATTCCCGCCTTGCCAAGACTACAGATCAGCACGTCTCTACCCAGGTAGTGTTTCCAAGGAGTGGCTACTAATTGTTGACAAGACATGGTCTTATGGATATTTTTTCAAAATATTTTTTTTAGTTGTAAGTGGACTTAATGCCTTTATTTTTATTTATTTACTTTTATGTGGTGCTGAGGATTGAACCCAGTGCCTCGCCCTTGCTAGGTGAGCGTTCCACCACTGAGCCACAACCTCAGCCCTCTTATGGATATTTTTTAGTTATACATGTTTCAGAATATCTAAAGAATCTGAGTTAATTTGAAATTCTTTGATCAGAATGTGGCTGAGATTTTTTGTTCTTTTTAATTTTATTGTGGTTTTAAAAATTAGTTCTAATCAGGTATACATGACAGAGAAAGCTCTTTGATTCATTGTACACAAATGAAGCACATTTTTTTGCTTCTTGGTTGTACATGAAGTAGAGTCACACCATTCATGCAGTCATACATGTATCTAGGGTAATGATGTCCATGTCATTCCACCATCTTTCCTGCCCTCGTGCCCCACCCCTTTGACCCATCCAAAGGTCCTCCACTCATCCCATGCCCCCCACCCCCATTATGTATTAGCATCCACTTATCAGAGAAAACATTGACCCCTGTTTTTTTGGGATTGGATTACTTTGCTTAGCATGATATTTTCCAACTCCATCCATTTACCTGCAAATGACGTAGTTTTACTCTCTTTTAATGCTGAGTAATATTCCACTGTGAATATATATACCATAGTTTTTTAATCCATTCATCTTTTGAAGGGCATCTAGATTGGTTCCATAGTTTAGCTATAATGAATTGATGCCAATAGTTAATATGATTTGCTGAACATGAATCAGAACAAAGTTGAAATGTTTCTTACAAGAACTAAATGTGGAGTTAGCCTTTGGAATCCTTGCTATTGGGATTTGTGATATTTTAAACTTTTGCTATTATGAATAATGAGTATCCTTTTGGCCATTTTAATAAAAGGTGTCCTGGGATTTTATGAAGTGTTTTAAAAACCACCTCATATGTTCAACAGGCCCTTTTCATCTGCCAGGCGCTGTGCTAGGTGCTAGGTGCTAGGGCTATGACAGTGAGCATGTAGTCCTGTCCCTTGCCCACAGGAGTCCTGTCAGAGGCAGAGACTGACAAGCATCCATGCTGTGACTGGAGTGCTAATGGAGCCCCTGCACTGGGAAGGGCTCTTCCAGGAGGCCTCTGCAGTGACCAGGTGGGGCCGGAAGAGGCGTGAGCTGTGTGAGTGGGCAGGTGGAGCAGCTTCTGGTGGAGGAAGCACCATGTGACTGAGGAGAAACATGAAGCAGAAGAAACTAACTCAGATGAAGCACAGACCTGATAGTAAGAGTTGAAAAGTCCAAAACTTTTAGAAGAAAACAGGAGAAAGAATGTTTATGATCTTGGGTTGGGCAAAGATTCTTTGATGTGATGCCAGAAGTAGGGTCCATAAAATAAAATGTTGATGAATTGGGCTTCATCAGTATTAAAGACCTTTGTACTTCCAAAGACACCATCAGGAAAATGAAAACTCACAGGCTGGGGGAAAGTATTTGCACATCATATATCTGATAAAGAGCTTGTATTCACATAAAGAGCTTTTAAAACTCAGTAATAAGAAGACAAACAACTTAATTAAAAAATTGGCAAAGGATTCAAATAGCTGTTTCAACCAGAAGAGGTCCACGCAGCTCAGAAGCAACCTGGAAGAGGGCTCAGATCGTTAGTCTCTGGAGCTGGCGTCATCTGAGATTCCAGTTGCAGGGTGACTGGACACAGTCACCAGCCGTGGTGGTGAGGCGGGGAGGAGCTGGACCTACACTTAGTGCTGAGGGGAGCAGAAAGTGGCATATCCCTTTCAAAGACACTTTCCTAAAAAGTTAGCATAAGGCTACCTGTGACCCAATAATTGCAAGTCAGTCTCAACACATTGACACAAAAAATTGAGCATGAACATTCGTAGGAGCATTGCTCATAATAGTCAAAAGAGCAGAAGATACCCAAATGACCATCATTTGATAAACAAAACTTGTCAATCTGTACCATGGACTATCACTCAGCAATAACAACAAGCCAGCTCTTGATAATGCTTCAGCATACACGCACCTCAGAAACGTGCCATGCAAAAGAAGCAGACATAAAGAGGAATCAGCTGGGTGGTTGCCTTAGGCAGCCATGGGAGCAGGGCTTGACTGCACGAACCAGGGCATGTCCTCTGAGGTGCCGGAAGTGTTTTCAAACTGGGTATCAGGGATGGTTGAACAACTTTGTAGGCTTATTAAATATGATTGTAGACCTAAAAGGGTGAACGTGATGGCCATAAGTTATGCTCAGATAGATCATTTTGCTTTGTCTTCAGTGTAGGGCAGACACCTGGTCTCAGTAGAGGCCTTGGCAGCCTCAGGAGGATAGCCTTGTCCTTGTTGTCCTGGGCAGAACTGCCTTAAGCCCTGTTACTCCAGCAGCGGAGCCTGCAGACTCCCATCAGGCCTTGCTCGCCCTGACCCACTACTTTTCCTGCTACTGTGGTAGCTGGCAGGTACCTGGTCAGGTACCTGGTCGGGCCTTAGCAGGTGGCTCCTGGGTTGTGCAGAGATTCTAGGCGACTGTGGAGGCTGCTCACACTTGCTAGCCCCCACCTGGAACCCAGCTGAAGGGTGGGCAGTGGAAGGTGAAAAGGCTCCCAGGCAAAGGCTGTTACCAGGAAGGGAGAGGATTCCAGGAAAAGGAACTGTGAGCTCCCTGCTCAAAGACCATCCCTCCAGCTGCACGAGAGGTGACGAAAATGGGTGTGCTAGCTGTGGCTTTGTCTCCCTCATTTTTCTCTTGCTCTTAGAATAGTTTTCAAAGATACTTTGTGCCCACCTGCTCCATTTTCATGGTCCCATGGATGGGCACACACACTCTCAGGTATTGGTTGCCTCGCCTGGCCTGCCCAGGGGGCACCTGGGGCTCTGGGAGTGCACTCCAGAGTGTGCGTCCTCACCTGGGGAGAGAGACTAGATGTTGGCAGGGGGAGTTTAACTCCAATTTGGAGTTAAAGTGCTGTTTTTTATTTTTAAGAATGTGTATATTTTTCTAAGGTGATTTTTCCACTTTAGGTGAGTGTTGATAATATTCTAAAATCAACATACCTGAGACGGATGCAGCAAATCTGCTCATGTTTATTGACACCTCTGGTATGCGTTTGGCCTGGTGGGATGGGACTGACGTTTAGGAAGAACTCCCTTGACCTGTGCCTGTCCCCTGTGTGAGCTCAGTCTAGAGGGAGGGTCAGATTGACTGCAGCCAAGAGTTCCAGCTGCTCCTGCAGTGGACACCAGTGAGAGAGTTCTCCTCCCGGGGGCTCAGGAGCGCTTTAAGGCACGATGGTGTACAGGCTCCCAGGGCTTGTGGAAGTCAGTCAGGTCCTGCAGCAAGGAAAACGTGCAGGAAGAGGGACCAGCAGTCACAGATGCAGACCACAGTGGAGCAGAGTTAGATGCAGAGGAAACATAGGCGGGGTCGCCTATATATCATTGTTGCCAGCAGACCTTGGTTCCAGCTGTGTTTCTTGGGGTCCTGGTTACCTCCTAGGCAGAAGTCTGTTTGCTCCTGTGGCCTGGGAGAGAGAGACTGGGATAGTGAGTAGTGTAGAACTTGGGCAGAGCTCACAGACTACAGGCCTTGGACAGGGTGTTGGTGCAGGAGCCTTAGCGAGGAGGCCCCAGATGCTGGGCTGTGCTTGTATGTAGGGCTGGCCATCGGGGCTTGTCCTGCGGTGCAGGGCCTCACTTGAGTGGCAGGAGGACAGAGCCCCACCGTTGCTTCCCTCTGTTGCCTGGGTCTTTGTGGGCGTGGCTCCTGGCTTGCACTTGGGAGACCAGGTTGGCCCTGTGCACTCCTTTATCTCCCTGGCTCCAGTTCCAGTAGGAATTGTTCTTAGAAGTTTCTCTTTAAGTCCATGATGTCCCCCTTCTCAGCATGAGCAACACCTCGTGGTTCACTTGCATTAATTCGTTGCTTAATTTGTGTCCTCCACAATGCAGTAATTAAGTAGTCTTGCCCTTCACACACACACACACACACACACACACACGAGCCATGAAGCCTGAGTGAGGGTGACCAGTTCACAACACGCAAAGCCCAGGCGGGTCTGCGTGTGGGAAACCCTGGAGGCGGCAGCTGGCCCTGGCTCTGAGGCCCATGAGTGAGGCAGGCTGCTGACCTGATGTGAGTGAACAGGAATGCTGTCCGCTCGGCCCTCTCCTTTCCCCCTTGCGCTCACGGTGGTTATTACTCTTATTTAGATCCGCACATTCGCTGCAGCCCTCATCTGGTGATGAGATATCTACTAACGTGTCCGTCCAGCTGTACAATGGAGAAACTCAGCCACTCATCATTACACTGGAAAATATTGGAACGGAGCCACTGGAGAAACTGGAAGTCACCTCGAAAATTCTCACCACCAAGGGTAGGTACTGGGAGGAAGGGCTGTGTTGCCTCCTGGCAGAAGATACACTTTGAATGACCAACACTATTGGCTTAAAGTGGATCTTAGACTGGGAAATTTAATGATATTATTTAATTTCACCTCCTCTTCCATTTTGAGGACCAAATATATGCAGTAGACAGAAATTCTCTCTTTAGTGCAGGATACCTTCATGTGCTACTTGGAATTTAAGTTAATTGGTTTTAGGGTTTGGTTGATGTTTGCCCAAGCAAGCTAACATTGAATGACAGAAAATTACAGCCTATATGGTAAAATTCTTTCACATCTGTCTTGCTTTTACAGTTTAGCAACTGGGAAATATTTTTTTCCTTCTCTCAAATAAACCTAAATTGTAGATTGTGTGATTATTATTCCTCGTGAGCTGTCTCTCTTTCTGAAGCGTGACTCTACCTGTCTCTCCCCTGGGAAGTCCTTGACGGGCTCCCTGTTGTCCCTGGTGCCCAGAGCCCTGTGTGACCAGGCCTCCCCACAGTGCTTCAGCTTCATCCTCACCCCCTCCCCTGGATCCCATTGGTGTCAGTCCTCAGGAGCCAATTTCCACTTAACATCTGCTCTCTCTTCTCCACCTTAGGATACACCATTTCCTCTGCCTCGAACTCAGCTTGCGAACTCCTGCTACTACCCCTTTTGCTTCCTCAGTGTTGATTAATTTGTCCTTTGGTGTTACCTGCTCTCCCGAAAGCTTTCCTAGACTGTGTTATTGGGTCCTTCTTTCTTGCTCGGAGTACCCTAAATTACCACCGCAGTAGTCCTGTCTCCACGCTACATGGTGACTGCTTGTGTCCGGTCCCTCTGTCTAGCAGGCTGAGTCTCGCAGAGGCACTGACTAGCACGTGTGACAGGGTGGGTGTCCACTACTGAGGGGTTGTGGATGGAAAGCCATTTTCATATTTCCAGAATGAGGCTTATAGAATGACCGTCTTGTGTGTTGGTCCGGAGTGACAGTAAACGTGGGAGCCATCGTGACATTTTGATAAGACGCCCCCCCGCCCCCGTGTGCTGCGTGTGCTGCTGTCTTTGCATTCTGGCTGTCCTCCTTGCACTCTGGCTGCCCTCAGCTGCTTCTGCGCCTCCAGGCTCTGCCTCTGCTGGGGCTGTCTCAGCACCCGCCTCCCAGGGCACCTTGGCATGGGTGCTCCGTGGGCCTCTGAACTCTTCCAGAGCTTTTTCTTGGGTCCGCCTTCCTTCCTTCCCACTCTGATTAACACAGAAGAGTTGAGGGATTCATAGTGACCCTGGCCCTGCCGTCTAGGCTCTGCAGTGAACGTTTTGTTCCTCACAGGTCCATCCAGCCTGCTCGTCATCCATTAACCTGTCTTATTTCTTAAAATACTGTTTAAGGACTTGCAGGTGTCAGGACATTTTATTCTCCAATGCTACAGCGTGCCTCTCACTGGAATTCAGTTATGTTTGTAAAGTGTGTGTGCAGTGACGTGCAGACGTCTCTAGTGTGCTGTTTGATGAATCCCAACTAACACATGCACCTGTCTAGCCCAAACCTGCAGAAGATGTTCATCTCAGGAGAAAGTCCCTCATGTTCCTTCCCAGGTAGTCCCTGTTCAGCCTGGGAGGCAGTCACTCTGTTTCATGTTCCTGGTCATCCTTAGTGAAAAGCTTAACAAGGCAGGAGGTTGGGAACACCCATGGCAACCAGACAGAGTTCCAAGGGAGGTGCTGTGTGCAGTGGTCCACGTGGACACTGTGCATGCATTCACCTCTCTGCCCACAAGTTGGATTTTCCCATCATGCCTTGCACATGCCTGATCTGTTTTTGGTTGTCTTGCTTTTCTGTGCTGACATCTGGTTGATTCTGGCACGGATGGGGAGGGTGTTACTGCCTTCACTCGATGGACAGGGAGAGTAAAAGCAGAAGGGGTCAAAGACCTATCTCAGGTTCATAGGGAACCAGAGCGAGAGCCAGGGCTCCCCAGTCCTCTGCTCCGGTGTCCTCAATCTGCATCCTGAGGGAGGAAGGCAGACATGTAATATAGCAGGGTGTAGCCGTTTTCAGAGCAGTGGAGTTACAATGAAAAATTAAAGCTATCATTCTTTTTTTTTATTATTGTCCCAAGCTGCAGTACATTTACATGTGGAATTAAATTAATGAAAACAAACCATCTGCTTCCAAAATATACAAAGGGAATATTTCCTGTTGCTTGTGCTCTGCAGTCCCCGGAGGCTGTCAGCATTAATGCATGACCTGTCCTCCAAGGGGATGAGAAAATGTCTGCAGCGGGGAGCTGGAGCTGGTAGCCTGTGCTGGGAAGAGCGGGGAAGTTGTGGGACCCGGTGGAGGATGTTAGTGGCATCCCTTTCCATGTTAGCATCATTTTATCTGAAGCCCTTTGAGTTTCTCTTCTTTAGAGGTTTCTTAAATATCTGCTTGGATGCTTCAGCACGTGGAGTTACATGCTCCCTTCCCTGGGTTCCCATGCTGTTTTCTTGTGTGCAGTAAGTTGGCTTTACATCTCAGTAGTGACAACAGCCTTTCCTCTCTGGCTCTCCATGTGCCATGTGAGTGGCACTTCACCACGAAATGCACAGAACCACTTCCAGAGATCTTCTGGTGTGCATGCGGTGTGTGTCCTTTTGTCTCACTGCTGTGGCCTTGCCTAGGAGCTGAGGACAGTACTGGTGACAAGCCGGAGCTCATGAGCAGGAGCACTGGCATCCTCTGCCTGGGGCTGTCATCTGGGCGAGGCACTCTTTCAGAACGTGGAAAGCTCCTGGACATTCCTGCATACAGAAGCATGTCCCTGTTCACAGGTTCTGCCACAGAGATGAGTACTCATAATCTGCCCAGTTCCAAGATAAGGATCATCTATCATCATGTAATGCTGTCATGCTAATGACATACCACTTGGAAGCAGGTCTGTAGAGTGTGAAAAATGTAACTGCTTCCTTGCTTAAATAATTATAGATTTTGTTGTAATGAAGCCCAAATTAAGGAAAATTTATTAGCTTTTCCTCACATGTCCTGAGAATGTGTGTGTGTGTGTGTGTATGTGTGTGTACAGTCAGATATACCTACAGCACACACAGAATCACACACACACATCCCTTAGCTCTTCATTCTCCTCACTTACTTTTTTAACAAAAAAATGATGACTCCATTTCAGTATAATTAAAAATTTGTAAATGCTGTGGTTGGGATAGGATTCTCTTTATTGCTTATTACTTCTCTCACAAATGTCATAGTCCAGCATTCCTGCAATTGGCAAGTATTAATGGCTTCGTGGGTATTGAACATCGGTAGCAGTGACACTCTCTTTACTATTTTCAGAGTGACATAGCCAGTTTCACTTGATGGCACTGACCTGAACTACAGCATTAAGATAAGGACCATTATTTCAGATACTGAATTTTCCAGAGGAAACAGTGGCATAAGCATATGCTGTGCTCTGGATTGATGTTTCTTGTGCGATTCCTGTCGTGCTGTTGGGTTGTGGGAAGCTCCTTTAGGTGTCCTCTGCCTCACACAAAGTGCGGGGAGACAGAGAAAGAGGCCCGCTTGCAAGGCACAGGACTGTGGTAGGTCTGGCAATTGCACCTGCAGCTCCTGTGTTGCCATAGGCTGCCCGAGAGTCTGCACGGTTCTGTGCTGTTTCTAGATGCAAATACTTGGACTCTTTGGCCTTAGAAGGGAACGAGCCATTTCTCGATCAGTGGATTTGCCTGTTACTTGAATGTGTCACACATGAGCCTCAGAACTTAATACAGAAGTAAACAACACGGCGAGGCATTTTTCAAAGTGCTGAGTGCTGAGGCGCTCAGTCACAGAAATGGGTGTGTCTTGCTAAAGCCCCATGGGTGAAGCTATGCTCACCTGTTGCTTTGTAATATAACCCCTTGCCCTGTTTAGGATACAGTCTTCCATGGAAGTGCCTTGTGTGTGTCCCCTCCTCTTCCTGTGCTCTTGGGTGTGGCCTACCCAGGTGTCAGTCAACCTGCTGACAGTGGACATCATGAAGATAGACTCAGCCCCCTGAAACCTGACCCCTTGCCTCATTTGAATAGCTTCTCCTCAATAAAAGGGGTCAGTGTGTGCTCTCACTCTCTCCCTCTTTCTGCGGACCCTTAAGGTCAGAGGAGCCGTCACAGCAACCCCAAAGAAAAAGGTATTTGTGTCTCTTGTGTGGTTATTTCGTGCAGCCCAGTTAGCCCAGTTTAACTAGAGTGACCCCTGAGCCTTTTAGTCGCGAGAGCAGAAACCCGGCAATTGGCGCCCAACGCGGGGCGAAAGGTCTGTGTCTTTAAGCCACTGGGACAAAAGCGACAATGCTGGCTCCTAAGGGGACTCCAATTTAAATATTAAAGAAAGTTAGTGAAGTTGAAAGTTCTCTCCAGAAGTTAAGCATGCTTAGGATTGCAGAGTATTGTGGGCAGAATTGTAGAAAGTAAGTGAATTAGACAAAAGAAATTTTCTTTCAAGGCGTGTGGCCTCTTCCTCTTCCTGATTGCTGCTGGTGCCATAGGTGCGGTTCACCTGCTGCTCAGCGGCACCTGACTGGGCCTGAGCACGTCAGCTGACTGCTGATGACACAACACTCTCACCTGGGTGCTCTCCTGGCTGGGCCCAGCCGTCTCCTGTGCAGTGGTTCCAGAACCAGGATCAACGTCTTCAGAGGACCTAGCCCTGTGCCTGACACATGGCGGCTGAGGAGTGGCCACTTGGCTGCTCTCCTAGCACATGGGGAATGAGCTCATGATCTTGCTTTCCTGGCCTTCTGGGGCCTGGGAAACCAGACCATCAGGATTGTTAAGGCTGACTTTAAATAAGCAAATGTATGTCCCACTAATGAAGATGGTGTATTTGTCTAAATTTCCTCACTTGATCTTTCTCGTTTTCAATAAGATGTTTCAGAAATTACCTTAGTTTTCTCCCCCTTGTTTTCAGAGTTTCTGGAATGGTGTGTTAGCTATTCAGCGCTGTGACCAAAATACGGGATAGGAACAACTTA